ATATATCAATATTGAAGGATCAAAAGATTCACCAGTACTACATTTGAGAATTAATGAAGATGTTATAAAAATTGGTAATGGTGAAGACAGTTATTATTGTGATAATATTATTAATAACAATGGTGGTGGTGGTGGTATTATTCATAATTTTCGTAAAAATAATGGTGATGGCAATAATAAAAACAATAATAGTAGCAATCATCAAGAAAAAGAAAAATTATTACAGGATATAGTTAATGAGGCAATGAACAATGGTGTATTATTAACAAGATCTAAATATGTTAAGAATCAAGAATTATTTAATGTAGAACCAAGTATTAGAATTTGTATTTCTACTATTTTCACAAAAAAAGAAATTGAAAAATCAGCCAACATTATTAAACTTGCTATTAATAAAATATTAAAGAACAAGATTAAATAAATTTTGGTTTATTTACATGAATGGATTAATGGATTAGATGAGTGTAATTAAATTTTTTTCTTATAATACTTTTTTAATTAATAATAAATAATAAATAATAATAATAATAGTTTTAAATAACAAGTAGATGAAACAATAATAGCACTTTTTTTCTCAAAATAATTTTATGATCACAGATTATTAATATAACCAGCATTATTTATTGATATCCAATTTTATCACAAAATTTCTCTTCAGCTTGCTTTTGAAGAAGGTTGAATTTCTTACTATCATATATCCCTTTCAACATCCATTTAACTGTGATGTGCTCAACTCCATTCCACAATTGGTTGAGGACTCTTTTAAATCCTTCGAATAAGAAGGATCCCTTCCTGCAAAGAAATTATGGTTGTATCATTTTCACAATCAATAAAACAAGCTATGCCTGTGAAGATACAAAATAAACAGCAGAAGTAGTATGGAAAACTTCCACCGGGTATTCATCAAATGATTCTTAAGTGTGGATTTCCTAACTACTATTAACTACCAATTTCTCTAATTATATAATTTAATTGCAAAAAAATATTCCGAATTCAATTATTAAATAATAAAATCTATGTAATTTGTGTAATTATTACGTGTCTCGTGCAAATGAAATTGTCATAGGATGTTTTAATTAATTAAAAAGAAACCTTTTTTGTATCTTTTTTTTTTTAAATACATTCTTTCAAATATTATTATTCGTTTGCATTGTTCTTTCTAAATCCCCAGCCAATACACCCAGGATGTTTTTCAAAGAATAGTGGCCGTAAGTAGTTTGTGAATAGGGTCTACAATTAATTAGCCTTGATATTTCTATTGGATCAGGTTTATTATCACTGATTGCATCTATACATGGGTGTAGTTGCCCAAAATAAATTACACCACTATAATATGCCTTAACGCCGAATTGACGATTTCATATTAGCCGATCTGTAATTTTCGTCAATTTCAACAATTCGTTCATTTTTCAATTTTTTTTTTTTAAACGGCTGTCAATATTTTATTGAATAAATTTTTTTTTCTTTTTTTAACGCACATTTCGGCATTATGGCGGTGTAATTCATTTCAACATACAGCGGCATATTAATTACACCACCATATTAATTCAGCATTACCTGATTCACATATATGGGTTGCATCATCATTATTTAGATCGATCTGGGTTATGTGAGCCTGGGTCACCTGCGGTGAGCCGGGTAGCCTGGTTGGATATTTATATTATTAGTATGTTATTTGTATACGACTGGAGGGGGGTACACTAAAGCTCAGATCTTTTATTTTGATTGGGTAGAAAGATACTAAAAAGGGGAGGTATGGGCTTTTAGCATACCCGGATGGTGTGATAAGAGTTTCAGAAATTCAATTTCAATGTTAAATGTTTTGTATTTTAAATAAAATTCTAAAATAACATTTCCGAATGCAAATTTAAATATTTATACAAATGCAGTTTGGCTAAATGGACACTCTAACAACCATCATCGTCATCATCAACGTCTTTCAAAACTTGATGGGTTTTGCACTTAACCATCACATCTCTTGCTCTCCCCAATCTTCATGCTCTCAATGTCCGAAGTCAAATTCATTTATCCTGACAGTTATGCTAATCGAATCGGCTGGTACAGGAGTTAATTCTTGTATATATAAAGGCCATGCTCAAAGAGATGATGGGAATGTACATTTTGGAATGATTAATTAATATCGTTTCTCACAGACTTGTGTAATGGTGTTTCTAAGAGACTAGGCTTGCATGATCCCATAGAATATCAACCACACTATCAAGCCTTGGATCCTCATTCAGCAACTGCTATTTCTATTGCTGATTGCTCTCGGCTTCTCATTCTTCTACTTTACTACCCCACCACCTTACACCAGCCATCAATTATGTTGAGATTCGAAAAACTTCAACAATACTCTTAACGTCAAAGGATCCGATGAGGATCTCTCCTAGTCAGAGAGTCTAAACAAAATATCTAAACAAAATAGCTGGTCGTTCATTATATGATACTCCACTTGTTGAGTACTAATTTGTTGATGTATATTTTTACAAGATTTCTAAGTACTCTTACTGTTGGTTGATGACAAAAAATCTTTGTAATAAACTAGGCTAACTGCACCTAAACTATGATTCAGAAGATAATTCATTTTATAATTCTTTTACGCATTTAAATTTTTTATTTTTCAAATGCTATTTGAATTCCAAAGATTTTAAGATAAAGTTTCAATCTATTCAATCTAATGTTTTGGATACTTACTGCTAGTCAGTATCTATCTATTTGTAAAAATATTTTCAACCTAACTTTTTAGATACTTGCTGCTAGCCAGCATCTATTTAATTTGTAAATATAATTTGTATGAACATAATCTATAATTTTTTCCTATTTTATCAATGAAAATGTTCTCTATAGAGAGTTGTAATTATAAAGTACGTAACATATGGAACGTAACATAATATTGACATTGAAAACAAAATCTTTATTAAACCTGGAATTAAAAAAAATATCAATATGCTAGAAGATCACATATACACACAATAAGGTGATTAAACAATCAAATAGATGGTTTGGTAAATCTCTTATATTGAAAATGAAAAAAAAAATTTTGTCTTGCCTTTTAAATTTCAACCTTTTATTTTTTTTTGAAGTTTAACACGATCAAATCTTTTTTCACCCAATTGTTTGAAATAAGGAACAAAATTAATATTTGGAGGTAATTTATCTTGATTCATAAACCAGTCTGCAACTGGATGAATAGTTCTTGGATCTGGTTGTTCTTTTTTAACAAAAAAGTCTAGTACATCTTTAGTTGTTCTTATGTTATTCAATTCAAGATTAGGAACTCTTTTTTTAGTTGCCAATGAACAATCTTTAAGAATCTGTTGAAACACACACATATGTATGTAGAATAAATTTAATATTATGAATAAAACATGTAATATAAATCAGGATTATTTAAATTTTATTTTTTACCTGAAATTTCATTTTTGGATCTGATAATTCAACATCTAACCAATTCTGACGTTTTAACTTCAAATGATGATTTACAATTTCATTAATCATTTTTTCAATTATCTGGGGTTTTGTCATTATCGGGCTATTTCGCAATATAATATTAAAATATTTAATATAAATATAATATAATATATATAAATTAATTAAAATTGAACATTCACAAACATTTGTTTATTATTTTTTGGCTCCTCCCATAAAACTTTCATTCTATCCAACAAATCAATAATATTGAATTCTTGCTCCACTTCGACTCGACGGGTATTTCTTCTTGACATTGTCTGGTAATGTCGGCAGAATAAATGCAGATTTTGTTCCTTCTGACGGGTTCCTCGTAAAATAAATGCAAACATCAGCATGCTCATTTAAAGAGAGACGCAATTGAGTAATATAGATTGGTTAGATTAACGCAGCAAATTTGTATTTGAAATTAGCCAATTAAAATTAATTTCACATATTAATTATATAAATTTTTTATAAGGGATTAATTATCTCTATAAAAATGTAATTAATCGAATAATTATTCATTAAACACTATTTTGTTTTATAAAAAGCATATATAATGGCAAAATAGGTTTATTTCGATTTCGATTTCGATTTCTTGAATCCCAAAATCGAAAATCGAAATTAATTTGGAGTGTTGTTTAAGATTGTTATCACCAGGTGTTTATACACCACCAGATGTGTGAGTGGATTCATTAAGTAATGAGGGTACTTTAGGAGTCGTATTTAGATTATGTGATCTCAATACATTCAAATAGGTTTCAGTTTCTGATGATTGTGGGGTTGAAACATCCATTTGTAAAATGAAAGAAGTTGTTGGTATAGGTAGGTATATTCTACAAAAAATATACATATTTGAAATATGCGTATGAATGTATGGAAAGTAGTGTATGTATATATATATATATATATTCTATTTAAATCGCCTCTGTTGTAGGGTTTCTATTTATATTAATAGATCCATCTTCGTCATCATTATCATCATAAAGATCAAATTTTATAAATTTATTTTATATATTTTTCATCAAATATTCCAATGATTCTATTAAGTCTCCAAAAAAGCTTGGAATTCTTTCTTCTAATTGTATTAAAATATCTTTTGAAATCTTCATCGGCAATACTAAGTAAATGAAAAATAAAGTTACTTATATATAACTAGAATGACGAATAATCACCATTCTTTTAATAGCTCGTAAATAATAAATATAATAAATAATAATACAGTTCACTCTCTCTATAACGAACCCTCTGTCCCTATATGTAATTTCTCTGCTTTTGGTTGTTATATAGAGAGAGAAATTAATTATAAAAAATTGAAACGGGGACAAAAGGGAAGTTCGTTATAGAGAAATTTTACTTAGTGGTCGTTATAGAGAGAGTAGACTGTATCCAGAGTTCGGTATAGCCAGGTTCGATATAGCCAGAGTCAACTGTACTTGTTTGTGAACGGCTATCACGGTCTAATTAAAATGTCACATAAAAAAAGATAACAATCGATTTTGTCACATGGTGACTATGGTAATGTTCACTTTTGTTGTATACCATCAATAATGTTTACGAAAAGACTAATAGCAAACCAAAGTGAGTTTTACTTACTATAAATTAAAAAAATAAATAAATATTTGTCTAATTGTTTCAATTTTTTTTAGTTGGCTACAGTTCAACAACAACCTCATCCTCGGTTTTTAAAAATTTATTATTATCTAGAAACTTTGCCACAGTTCAAAATACACCACCAATTGGTCGCACCTATGGGGATCTCAAAGATACTGATCGAATTTTTACAAATTTATATCTAAAACATGATTACCGATTAAAAGGAGCATTGAAACGTGGTGACTGGTATAAAACTAAAGAAATACTTTTAAAAGGCCATGAATGGATTATACAAGAGACAAAAACTTCTGGGTTAAGAGGCCGTGGGGGTGCAGGCTTTCCAACAGGTCTAAAATGGAGTTTTATGAACAAGCCATCAGATGGCAGGTAATTATTAAATGATTATTTTATGAATCATATAATATTATTAATAATTTTTTATTTATTTTGATAAGGCCTAAATATTTAGTTGTAAATGCTGATGAAGGTGAACCAGGTACTTGCAAAGATCGTGAGATAATGCGTGGAGATCCTCATAAACTTATTGAGGGTTGCTTGATAGCTGGTAGAGCTATGAATGCTTCTGCTGGTAGGTTGAAAAAATTTTTTTTTGTTTATTTAACAATTTTAAGATTACTAATTTATCATGAATTGATTATCAGCATATATTTATATCAGAGGTGAATTTTATAATGAAGCATCTAATTTGCAAGAGGCAATAAATGAAGCTTACAATGGTAAATAATAATTATTATAGTTATTAATTTAAACAGATTTTTTTTTTTTTTAGGGAATAAACATATATTTTATTATTATTAATGAATTTAATAAAAAATTTTTTAGCTGGGCTTATTGGTAAGAATGCATGTCAGTCAGGTTATGATTTTGATGTATATATTCACCGTGGAGCTGGTGCTTACATATGTGGGGAGGAGACTGCATTGATTGAATCAATTGAGGGAAAACAAGGCAAACCAAGATTAAAACCTCCTTTTCCTGCTGATGTTGGTTTATTTGGATGTCCAACAACTGTTTCAAATGTAGAAACTGTGGCAGTAGCACCTACTATTTGTAGACGGTAGGGTAATGAATCTTTTTTTTTAGTAAAATATCAATGTAATAAAAATATTATTTATTTTTTATTTTTTTTTCTTGTTATAGAGGTGGTTCATGGTTTGCTAGTTTTGGCAGGGAAAAAAATTCTGGGACAAAATTATATTGTATTTCTGGTCATGTAAACAATCCATGTACTGTTGAAGGTAATTATAGCCAAGTAACTATTACTCATTATGTTTTATGTCATAAGTTTTAATACTTGTACAATTTTTGTTTATTGTAGAGGAAATGAGTATACCACTTAAAGATCTTATTGAGCGTCATTGTGGTGGTGTTCGTGGTGGTTGGGATAATCTTTTAGGTATTATACCAGGTGGTTCATCAGTGCCTGTGATACCAAAGCATATTTGTGACATTTGCTCCAAATTATACTGAAACTCAATATATATTAGTAGTATTATTATTAAATAAATTATTGGGATGTTAGTGAGATCCGGACACAATCTCACAATACGGGACAATCCCAAATCCCATTTGTATGGCTTTGAGACTAGGGTCATGCATAACAAAAATTCATTTTATACCCATCCCAAAAAATGATCATCTACTAATTATTCTTATGCTTCGTTCATAGCTTATCAATTATCAATTATCATTTCAGTATCAAATGTCATCTTTTTTAATACAAAAACCAAAAACCAAAATTAGAGTTCCTCCCCCTCCTCATCCTCACTGCTTCAACATCATTATATTAATGCTCAGGTGCTTTGCCTTTTGTAAATGTTGATTGATTTGGTTTGTTCTTGCAGATGGTTCACAGATACACTTGATTTTGAAACGTCACATATTTTTGTTGAAATTTTTTCATTAATTTCCATGCCCCCTTTACTTCTAACAGGTGTGGGTGAAATTAATATTGATGTGATGAATTATCATTATTGATTTCTTCCAATTTTTGCTTCTTGTATGTGGAGTTGAATTTTTTATTCTTGCTTGGAAACAACCATTCAACTTCATTACAAATTATTTGTACAAAGTTTTCTCCTTGCCCAGTGGCTGTGGAAATAGCTGGCCTTTTTTTGTGGCCTCTGCAAGGAGCAAAAGCCTAGTGTTAGATTTGTCATAGATAGAAGGGCCACA